TCCAACAAGTTTTATTTGGTGGATGCATCTTTGTCAAAGAATTTTGATTTTATATTTTAAAATTAAAAAAATTTTTTTTTGCAAAAGGCCAACTTGAATGATGCTCATTATCTTTGGTAATTTTCAACAATTTTCTCGTTGTTGATCAGTGTGACGTGTCTTCTATTGTAAAAATTGGACCCTGTATCACCAAAATATGCTTTATTAAATTACCTTGAGACAAATTGGTCTTACATGCCATATACCATATGATATGAAGTTAATGCTTTTAACCTTGCCAATCTGCTCATTTTTACCCCTGGGATATCCTTGTCCTAGAGTGATATGCTGTTGTGTGTTTGTTAAGTTGGCAATTAATTCTAACTCTAAGTTTCCTTGATTTACTTCATTGATAGAAGTAGTTTGTATGTGTGTGTGTACTTCATTGATAGAAGTAGTTTGTATGTGTATGTGTGTGTGTGTACTTCATTGATAGAAGTAGTTTGTATGTGTGTGTGTGTGTGCTTCATTGATAGAAGTAGTTTGTATGTGTGTGTGTACTTCATTGATAGAAGTAGTTTGTATGTGTGTGTGTGTGGTAACATTTGTTGTTTTTATTATAATTAGAAAGTTCAGCAATTTTGTGTATAACATTCACACAAATTAGCACATTAGGTGTGAAATAACTTTAAAACTCTACTTATGATTAAATGCATACAGACACTACACAATCAAACATCTTTGTATATGCCTTATCAAACAATAAGTAGGTCAATCTGTATATAAAAATTTTCAACTGTTATGCATGCTGTTTTTATTTATCCCTATGCAATTGTTGAAAATGACTAATTTGTATTCACATATCAAGTACAGGTACTTAAAACAAAATATGAGTAAATTCTAAAACATGAACTGAGTATTTATTTAGTAACAGAGCCTTGGGTATTAATTTCTGTAAGACACTGAATCATTTCACCCTTAATGAAAATGATAAATTATCTGATTGTAATTGGAAAAGAAAAATATATTAATCTTTTTTATTGATAAACCCAACTAATCACTTACATAGAAAATACATGTATTTATCATTATTTATTTTTTGTCCAAAATGTTACAAGGTTACAAGATGGTAATATTTTTTAGTGCTAATTTATTTATAATACTGATAAAGATTTTATGAACAACTATAAACCAATTATCTTATTCTTTTCAGAATCCTTATCTGTTTGACTGTTCAAATTCAAATGTAGAATGACTTTGGGTAAGTTGAGTTTTTAGATGTATAATGTAATTTTTTCCATTTAATTTTGTTTTTATTTTAAAACCATTGATCTCATTTTGTTTAAGCTGAAACTTTAAAAAAAATATTTTTTTTTCTATTTTCAGTTCATGAATGATGCCAGACCCTATACTTTGGTTACCCCAGCACATCACAGTTAAATAAGCCTACTGGATTTGACCAGCTGCCTTTATCTTTAGTTTTCCTTTAGGGTGACTACTTTGCACATATACCCAACTTCGGAGCTCAAAACTAAACAATAACATTTCTGTTTTGCAGTTGACTAGCTCTAACCTTGCTACTGAATTTAAAATGTAGATAAAATATAGTCTGTACTCTAGTTCCTGTTTACCCATACTAGCTAATAGTGAGAGTGCTTCATATGATTTGCTTGTCAAGAGAATTTGTCCCGTAAAAGGGGAATCTCTTGTGTAAACATTTTCAATGGACAGCAAAGAAATAACTCATTCAGAATTATTTTCTTTTGTTAATTTAAAAAAAAACAAATTTATTCATTCTATATGTTTTTGTGTTTTATTATAAAGTCACCAAAATGTTCAGCTACATTTACATCTGTTTATTTTAAAATTATTTCTCTACAAATGTTTTGTAAGTGAATTTTTTTGCTGGATGATTTTTATTTGGAAGCATAATGCTTATAGTTTTGTTTTATGCCTATTTATAGCCCAATTTATTTTAAAAAAAATTTCAACTGCTTACTGTTTCTAGTTAATTATTTACAATTTGACTTTGGTAGTTGAGTTCAACCTGTTAAAATGGCCACACCTGCTTAAAGTATTGGAATCTGATCTGACTGAATGGTCGATAAATTCATGTCCAACATGACATTTAATTTATTTTCTATGGCTTCATTGAAAGCTCTGGTAAGAATGATGTAATCAAAATAAATAGTCAATTTATATAACCGGTATTCACATGTTGCCAGGATATAAACTGTGAAAGTAGCACATTTTACCATTGAAACTTATGTCATGTTATTATGTTTGATCAAGTGTTGCCATAGTGTGGTTGGTAGTTTTCATGTAATGTATTTTTTGTACACTTGAAACTCAAGCTATCAAACTTGATAGTAACAATACTTTTTTTTTAAGCTCAGAATTACTTGTATGTACAGAGAGTGTGTAATGTTTCACTTTGTACATTAAACAGATGCTAGATGAGACATAGAAAAAATATTCTGGAAAGGATAAATGTTAGTGATCTGTTACTTATTTTAAGTGGGGGTGGATGTTTCTCATAAACCCAAGTTTATAATCATTCTGTTTACTTCACATTTTATGGCTTAAGTCTGTTGTATTTACTCTTATAAAATCATGTTGTTTGACAAGTGATACAAGTATGTGATAACCCCCCACTCTTCAATCTTGGCCACTATATTTCTATGCATAGGAACCACTGGACACACTATCATGTAAATAGTGAAAATGAATTTTTTTTTTTGTATATAATTATGTCACCTAGGATTTTTTTTCAATTGAATAAAAAAATTCAACTCCTCATAGTGTCTGTACTTTTTGTATGTAAACTTAGAAATCTAACCTAAAAAGAAATTCTCACAATAATGTATCCTTTTGAAAAAAAAAATAGATGATAGGTATTTAATATGCTGTGATTTTAAGGAAAGTCGACCTGCCTTTTGTTAAGCTTAGGTATCAAAATATGAACCTTCCAAACTATGGTGCTTTATGTTTGGCTTAACACAAATTCTCTCTAAGAGGAATCTAAATGGGTTTACGCCACCTCAATAAGTTTTCAGCAGTATGCTTGTCTGCATTGATAGATTTTACATAACAGAAACTCTTTCATGATACAAGTCATCAAGCTAGACATAACTAGAGATTTTGTGATTTTGGGCACATCGGCACAATTTAGGCCATGTTGTGCCTGCAGTCCCTCAAGGGCCACTCTCCCTCCACACAGCAAAGGCCAAATTCCATACAGTCAAATCATAACTAGATCATGGGCTAAGAATGAGGGAAAGATGCATTGACCTACTTTTACCAGAACTAGGTTTCTATTTGAGACATGGAAAAGATCAAAGAACTGAAGAAAAAAAGATTTAATCTTTAAAGCTACAGCTTAAGGCAGAATCTTCTGATACTCAATGTCTCATGTGCAAATGGGTGGCAAAAGTAATAGGATGGAGATTTTCTGTCAACTAATAGTCATGTTGACTCTTCAACTAATACTTAAAGAATCATACCTAGAGTGTACTAGTTTATGGCCAATTAGAAAAAATGTGTCAAAGCCAAGTCCATATGTCAACTAATGGTCATGTTGACTCTTCAACTAATACTTAAACAACCAAACCTAGAGTAAAAGTTTGTTTTATGTTTCAGATGTTCCTTCAGAGTTGAAGATAATTTACTTCCTAGTCCAAACCTGCGCAGAACAACGGGGGATGGGATCTGGCAGGGTTTGAACCCAGGACCATCGATAAGTCTGAAAGACAGCCAAGTGCATAAAACAGGCAGAATCCAGTTTTTTTCCCAGCAAAAAAATGTGTCAATGCCAGGTCCATTTACTTATCCATTTTATTCTACAAATGAAGTAATTTAAAATTGGTCACTGAAAATTTGATACAAACATGGAAGATAGAGATAGCCTTGCGCCACAATTTCACGGATGACTTCAGGGCAGTGGAGTTAAGCTGAAGACTGACTTCTGTGACAACTTATTATTCACCTTAACTTATTTTAATATGTTGGACCATTGGGGCACCACACAAGATTTGTTGACCGTCTTTCTCCATTCCTGTCTTTGCCTTGTATAGAACCTCCTTTCAATGGCAGGCCCATCCATTCTTTTATGTTGTTTTACTATTTACTTTCTCTTGACAATTCTTCTTTTTCCTGGTAGGCCTACTGTACCCTGAAGGAAGTTCTTTGTGAGCCCCTAAGACTGTAATATGGCCATGGAGTTTTAGTTTGCATTTTTTTTTTTTACAATACTTAGGTCATCGTGGGGTCCTATTGCTGTAATAATATATTCATTTGTTTTGTAATGCAGTCTTTAAATGTGATACCTAGGATCCTTCTGTAGCATCTCAATTCCATTGCTAGGATCCAGAGACACGTTAACTTATCACCTAATGTAATAATGTATATTTCAAATGGCTAGCAACTTGATGTAAATAATATTACTAATAAGGTACCGAATCAGAAACCCCATTAGTAACAAACCATGCTAAGAATTACTTCCTTCATTAGAGCACACGAAAAGAAGCGGAAGTGAATTTTAAGGTCGCCTTGCTCGTGACCTATGTCGAAGGCGCCGCCTTGCTCCCATACAAGGACAGCCCTAATGCAGCACACAAACCAGTTCTCTCTATTAAATCATTGTCCCGATAGTCCTTCATGCAGAACGGGACATTTATGAAGAATGTGGTCTACTGTTTCTTTGTCCTCTATCTGATGGCGACACCATGTGGTGTAGTTTTCTCATATCCTCGTAAGTTAACACCAATTGGACAGTGACCGGCTCGGAACTGGGCCTGTTCCATGTCATTGAGTTGCTACCATGCATGCTTTCCATCTGGTCTCCTCAGCTGCCTGTGAAGACCACTGCCTTTGTCTGAGGCGTCCCAGCTATAGTACCAAAGTGCCAACAATAGGGTGTCAGATATGGATCATACACTTCCATAAGTGCATAATAATACATGAATGCCATATGTTGTGCTGAATTAAAAAAAAAAATCCAATAGAAGTAACACTAAAAGAAACTTTGTGCACTGTAACATATTTATTGTCAAGAGTGCATTGGTTTATATATTTACAAACAAGAAACAAAAATGTATAGAGCTAATGGGAATGCCATCAATTATTCTATAAGTTTTATTGAACTCAATTATCACCCCCCCCCTCTACATTACAAAATGTGTAAAAGTCAAGTACTCCTTACTGAATAATATTCAATAAATCAAAACATGTGCTTGCTAGGTAGCAGTTATATCTCTTACAAAACGTGTAGGAAAAAAAATGTTTACATTAAAACAAAAAATGATGGAAATAAAATACTGATCCACCTGATCATCTTACTGATGAAACCAAACTTCAAGTCTGCTGAGTTCCACTGAATGAAGAAGTTGCTGTTGTATTTACACATGAAGTTGAGTACACTTCTAGGGAAGACAGCTGCATGTTATACTTGAATGAGATTCACAATGAAACAGTGAAGAAGAAACTGTTTCTACTTCAAGAACACAATGTAGTTATTTAGAGCCGCTGGCAACTCAGACAAACTGGACTACATACACAATGGGTTATTGTTACCTGAGTTTTGAACTGGAAGAAAGTTGAATACAGATATCTGCTTACATTTATGTAGAGCTGTATGCTCATCCAAACATTACCTGAACTTTAATTTAAAAAAAAAATAGAATAACTAACAAAACAATGTTTAATTACCCATCCTCAGCAATGGATTCATTTGTATTAGATATGGCTAAATATGTAGGCTAACGCTGGGGTTTTCTTAATTTTGAAGCTTTACAAGTTCCAAGTTAAAAAAAAACGCCAACTTGGCACACTTTGTTTTTCCATGTTCACTGCAGATCAAATAAACTGGAATGTAGGAGAGTGCTGCAACCTGGCCAGGCACATCTTTTAGACAAAATGAAAGAAATCAGAGAATTGTTACATCTCTTTTCATTGTAATTATTAGGCTTATTATACAATAATGAAAATTTAAGGCTTGGATATAACTAGATTAAAGAAAAAAAAAAAAAAAGCTCTAACTTTCAGCCCATTTCAAATTAAGTTTTATATCTCACTGCCCCCTATACATTTAGTTCTACTGAATACATCTATTGAGTATGCTACTAATTGTTCATTCACAGTAACAAAATACTACATATGTCTGTAAACCAGTACATGATTTTAAAAAAATGACATATATATATATAAAACCATAAATAATTGTGGTATTTCAAAAAAGGTTTCCATGACAAAATACTGAAGCTTATGTTCTGATTGACTGTGAACAATGTAATAATAAAAAAAAGCCTAACAATAACAAGGCAAGGCATGAGCAATGTACTGCTACAATCATTGAACACATTTTGACATGGAAACCGTTACAAGTACATTCTAGAAAAATATAGTTTCAAAATTGGTTAAATGTAACTGTTCTCGTAGGTCTTTGACTAAGCATAGAAACAGAATACTTGTTTTAAATATAATATCTGAAATTATTGCTGCACCAATAATATGTGAAAGTTGCAGTCCAGTAACATCGACAAGAATATAAACAGGTCAGAAAACCAATTGAAAAGTAACAATATCAAAGCAATTGGATAACACTCACAAAATACCAGAAAAAAAAAGTATAATAAAAGGATTTTAGAACGACTAAAAGTTTTTAAACAAACTATGGTTCAATACTTTTGATCCTTGGTAATAGCATTTCAGACTTTTCTCATTAACTTTTAGTAAGCTAATATGTCATTACAGTCCATAAAGAACTACTTTGTCATTTCATTTCCACTTGGACCAATATATTATTTTCTTTGTTAAGTCTGGACTTGCTTGTCTTCACATGTAAGAATGACTTAAATGTTCAAGTTTATGTGTATGCTCTAAATAATTTCCTTAGCCCCAAATAAGCCAACCATGGTCAGAGGAGTTAGAGTTTTTGGCACATCGGCACAATTAAGGTCAGAGGAAAAAGGTGATCTATGGCTCTTTAGTATTTCAAAGTTAAGATTCTAGATTATGGTATTTCATTTGTATTTCTTGTGATAATCATATAGATACAGCATGTCACTAAACTTAGATTTACATTTGGAACAAAATGTACAACCCACACAAAATGTATTCCAAGAAAACAAGATGGTCAAACACAAGTATACATAGAGGTGTGTATAATGGGCAATACAAGATTGAATATGAACTTTACATTGTATGTCATTCAAGAATGTTCAAAATATATATAGGTACTGGCATGAATGAACACACCCATGTTATAAATACAAAGTACATGACAAGAGATCCAAATGTGACAAATAGGAAAGGAAAAAAAATAAATTCACCCCTTGAAAAAAATAGGGTTCCTTAATATCAGGGCTCTACATAGTCAAGACACGCCTACCACTTTATCCTTTTTATATATATATATATATATTAGCCCTGATTACAAGTTTAAAGAATGTTAATTAACATGCAAGGATCTACTTAGACCAATAACAAGAGTTATGAGAGTTGGTAAGTAACTTAGTCCTTCAAGGTATGACAATCTAACATAAGCAAGTTTGATCTATCTACATTAATTACAAGTTGGGTTCATGTAGGCTTAAACAGTATCATATAAAACCTTCATTAAAAAAAACAACAACTTAAATACCAGGATACCAGTTTCAGGACATAACATCAACTGTTATAACAACTTAGTTATACAACTCCACTCTCTAGTCAAGCATAACATGGAAAAAAAAAACAAATATCCAAGCAAGAAGTGAAGTCATTTAAATTCAGAGCAGACACCATTAGAGGTGATCAGCCAAGCATGAAATGTATGGTGGCACACATCCACATATAAGTTGAATACATCTGTTGGCTTAGCTTCATAAGAGCTTCAAACAATCATAGAATGGGTTCTACACAAACTATTTGAAGAGTTGACACTATTTTAACTGTGACTTTATTACATAGACTTGAAGTTTTTAACTTTTATCAGGTTCTAAATAGAAATGAAATGGCCTAAATCTAAAAGAAACTTTTCTGTATAAATTCAGCACATTTTAATTACCCACATAAATATACATTTTTTGTTTGCTATTGATATATGAAAAATTAAAAACTAGCTAAGGCAACATGGCTAAAAAGGAAAAGGTCCAAGATCTCAGTAGAATAACACTTCAGAAAATTTCTTCTAATATACATGAGACAATTGTTCCCTTATATCTTATAAATAAGGAATGAACCAAATACAATGTTTTTTTTATAGAATTATTTACCTTTAACATATTTATCAAAAGCAATGTCATGTGATTGTCAAAAGGATAGCAAAATGTCTGCAAATATGTTCTCAAAAAACCAAAAAAAAACAAATTAGTGGGCAAATACAATTACAGAGAAGCACAGCTGAAAGGACGATGAATTCATAAGATGCAGCTAAACAGAATAATTAGTTTGGTTTCAAAAGTAACTTGCAGACTTTAAAAAAAATCACACTAAGGAAATGCATGAAAGATTTCTCAAAAGTAACAAATGAACCAAAATAAAACAAGGTTGGGTAAAAATAGAGCTGGGTTGTTTTGTTTTACTTATGGCACATCTAAAAAACACATGAGTTCAGACTTTTGCTTTATTTTTTTTGTCGAAATATTGCACAATCAAATGATTTATTAATACAACTGAGCACAAATAAATGGAGGCCATAAAAAAAGGAACATTTTGTGAAATATGTCATATATATATATATATATATATATACCGGTATGTCATTTGAAACTAATAAGCCTACACAAGTCTATTTATATGTAAAATGGATAAAAAAATAAATGTAGTCTTAGAAAAGTTGTGAAGAATTAAAAAGTAAGAAATGCTTTAAAACATTTTAAATTCTTTTAGATGCTTGAGAATCTAGAATTACAGTACATTCCAAGTTTATTTTAAATGCAGCTTAACATGATAGTGTTTTTAAGCTCTAGTGCAGTAGGTTCCAACCCATTAAAGGTATATGTCCCAAGCCAAGCTTGTTTATAGTTGAATATGGCTTGTATGAAAGCATGTTGATTTGAAACCTCTACTTTATAGCTTTTTAAGTATCACTAATATAGGGTAATAGTAAAAAAAAATAAAGCGACATAATCTTAAAAATACCACTAAAATGCCTACAGAGCTTTGTCCATCCAAAACTTTCCTTTTGGGAAAACATAAATCAAGGACACAGCAATGTGACATCAATACTACATGAATTCCCATTTGCAACAAAATAACAATAAGCTACAACTTATCCAATTTATCAATTCATTAATAAAAACATTATGTACTGTTAATTGTTACAGTGTACAAGTCAAACTTTGTTGAATCTCTGAACATGTCAAGATGTTGAGCTGGTGAACACAAGCAGCAGTTTCACTGCCATGTCTTTTTGTTTTTTTTATAAATAAATTCATTTAAAACAATTGTAGTCTCAGAAATTTCAACATTTATACAGCCAAAGTGTACACAAAACAAGTCTTCACTTTATTTAAAATTGAAGAAAAAATTCTAATAATTCAATAAAAGAAATATTTAAAAGCCAATACAGGCCAACAGATTTGCCTTCCCGATGACAATTTTAAGACCAGTCTGATGTTTCCAGATGACTTAGAACTGCCTCTGGCAAGATAAACGAAAAGGAGTTTTACTTGGGCTAGTAAAATATTCTGGCTAGCTATTTCTGTTAAAATGGCACCTATTTCCTATTGGACTTCATTGAAGGTAGTTGTTAGTGGAATTTTCAAAAAGTAAATACTTTTAAATGAGGTAAGAAACTAATTAATTTAACAAACAACACCCAGCTAATTCCACAGAGTACCCATAACTAACAATATTGTTTACAAAATAACATATGGCCTGTTATCTAAGGCAACTTTTACTTTTGTAAGGGAGGGATTACAAAAAAATGAGCATCTTTCAAAAACCTTACAGCATTTTAACAATTAGGAAAGTGATTGTCTTCTCTCTTCACTGTACCTATAGAGCTTCAACATATGGTGTATATACTTCATTAACTATAGACTTTTAGATAATGCTTAGTTACATACTGCAACAGCTTTGTTCACAAGTCTCATGACTCTCTTTATTAGTCTGTTCCAAAATATTTTTGCCCGAAATGACTTGGGGCCACAGGATGAACCTCTGAGGTTAAAATTGTCATTCCTGGAAATTCTGTCACCAGTTGATTGGCAGCTGGCAAAATTTAAAAAAAAATAAAATAAATATATATATAATGGCTGTAAAACATAACCAATGGCAATAGAAATGTTAGAAATAGTTTCAAGTGAGGGTTAGCTTGCAGTAATGGGGTGAGTTTGTATGAAATGGTTTGAAAAAAATACCTTGTGGTGTGCAGAATAAATTTAACAATATAATATTAGACTCATTCACATTGTTCTGTTGTAATATCTTGACAGCCTTTGCAACAGTATTTCCAGTACCTGCAGATAATACCTACACAGTTAATTGACACATCACTCAATTTTGGGGGTAAAAATAACTAAAATGTAATCTTAACAAAAAAAAAACGAACAAAAAACAAGCAAAATCAACTGGAAAAAAAAAAAGTTGACAAAACTGTTGACTACTGACAATATCATATAAGCAATATTTGTTTGTATAGTAATTATTATTATTAATAATTTAAAAACAGTTGTATAAATATTGATGACTCCAACTATTTTCAAACTATCACCTCCCCCTTCATCTTACCCTAGATTCAATTTACCCTAACACAAATGAAAAATAAATATGACCAAAAACCAATTCACAAGATATATACAATATATCAGGACTTACACATAATGGGGTACATAAGCAGAACTTTGCGCTGGTTAATGTCCTTTGGAAGATTGGCATAGACAACTTTTGCATCATGTGTGTCTTCATCACTTTGAATAAGAATTTTTCCAATTCTCAGCGATCGACAACAGTCTCGCAAACCTTGCTCCATAGCCTCACCTGTGAAGTGAATGACAAACAGTAACTATCAAACTTGGAAAGATCTTTAATATGAAATGAAACTTAAAAAAAAACAAACAACAACTTTCAAACGAATAAAGAGATTAAAGCTTACCACTCCTAAAAGCATTAAAAACAAAAAACTTTCAAATGTATAAGAGAGATAAAGAGCTTACCACTCCTAACAATGCTAACTCCACAGTTTCCTTTTTCATAACGAAGTCCGTTATAAATTTGACCTATGAAAAGTAAAAAAGGAATTTTAAAGACAGCATAATTTTTCTTATACTGTGGAAGCTTAAACACATCTTTTGGACCAATCTCAAATAGGTATTTACTGAGCATGTGTTTGTATTACTACACAAAATATTACAAATAAAGCTCTAGACCAGAAGTTTCAGACTATTGAATTAAAATCTACTTTTTCCTGCTTTAAGCTAAAAGAAATGTCTATGTAAAAAAACTTCTGAAATGTTCAATATTGAAAAAAAAAAAAAAAAAAAAAAAAAAAAAAGAGTAAATGAAATCACTTGTACCTGTAGGCGTTGTGACTGAACATTTTCTGTAAGGAAGCTTGTTCAGACCCTCCTCCACTATTAATCGAATCTGATAATGGTTTAAGAACAATTTTCTACTATAAAAATTAAACATCTATGACAGACCTTAGAGAGTTTTTACATTAAACAACCACTGGTGTAATTTAAGGCTGTCTTCTATTTGAAAACTCAAGCTTGATTTTCTATTTCAAATTAAAAAAAAACTTCTAAATATGGCAATTGAAATAATGATATATTTTTTTGGTGTTTGAATGTACAAAACAATATATTTTTAAAGAATTTATTTAAATATAACTTAATCAATGATGTTTTCCTCAATTAATTTTTAAACTGACTAACTATTATTACCTTTTAAGAAATGTAAAAGGTGCTGGCAATAGGGTTATTATTACAATTGTCATTTTGAAACTTTCAAATCCATTACAAGATAAGATAGAGATATCTAGCCATAATTATATTTAGATTTAATGCCAATGTTATAAATCCTTTTAACAATTGCTGCTCAATTTTCTTATCTACCATTACAAATCTTTAACAGTTGTATAATAAGACAATCATGAAAAGCTAAACCTAAATTTTATCATTTTGATGTTCTACTAAACAATTTGTAGCACTCATTGTCACAATGTGAATTATTGTATGACTGTAGTTAAAGGCAGTCTAGATGACATGTTATTTAAAAGAAGGTTGATCAATAACTAAGTTTGTTTACTAGATATTTCTTACTTTTAAAAAAATTTCCATCAATTGACCTCTTATACAAATCCTTATTACATGTACTTATTTATGTATATTGTACTTTTCTTCACAAAATATTTAAATGCATACAAACATTCACACACACACACACACATATATATATATATTATACACATACACACACATATACAGGTTATATTATTCATTCTGATGTATCATCATTCACACATATTCTGAAATAAAACTTTCTGTACTATGACTTTCTTTCTCTGTTAAGTAGATCAGCATGTAAGATGTGAATAAAGTCCTAAAGAAAAGATGATAAAACGAATACAAACCAAGCGATCAGCATAAAATATGAAATCTGTTCTTGGTGTGTTCCTGAGTGAAAAGAAATTTTAAAATTTACAAAAATAGATCTATGATAATAGATAGATCTATATGATATTTCAAATCTAGAATATGTTAATTAGTATATATAGAGAAACTATAAACAATTAAATTATTAATAATGAACAATCTGAACATGATCGTTGTCTATGTCTAAATAGATCTAAAGCTGACTAAACATTTTTTTAAAGAGTTTTTAACAAGTCAAAAAGATGAATCTTGAAACTCTTGAACATTTTTAACTGGATACCAGAATGTCCAGAGATCAAACTAATCAAAAAAGATTTATAATGAATAGAATTTGATCTGAATAGGAAGATCTAGACTCTACTGAGATTTACCTGTCAACTAAGACAGACTATATACTTTACACTACAGTGACTTATGATGGAAATAATAGAATATCTCTACAATTTTAGCTAGATTTTGTTTATTTAATCTGTTATTCAAGACATAATGGATGATTTGAAATGTACACATTTAGAATCTAGACTAGATTTAGCTAGATCTCTTTTAAAAAAAACAACATAAAAAATACTTTAAAAAAAAAAAAGACAATACCTCCTTACTACATCTTACTTTTACTCTTAACTAATGAATGTTAGATTTTAAAAACAATGGAACATTTTTTACCCCACCCCAATGAAAAAAATCTTGGTTAAGCGAACGCATTTTGTATAATAATTATAAAAAATCTACTAGAAAAGTATGCTTATGATAGTCCTTTACTATGACTTCCAAAGTTGATTGTGCACAAAATGTTCCTGAACATTAATTAATTAATTTAATTTTCATACTTTGAAACGGTAATTTTGAATGAGTGCATGGGCCAGCCATCTTTGTTATTGTTTTGACAGTTGTCTTAAATCTTGGGTTTTTTCTCTCAGATTTGGATTTCTGTTTTTAATTTAGTCACTAAAAAATATTCTTGATCTAGATCTATCATCTTTGATTTTTTTGTACTGGTACCTAAAGTCTAAAGCTAGGGCCAGATTTAAGTCCACGGCCTCCACAAAAGTGATTTTACAATTTTATTGTTCATAACAACTAGATGCATTTATTTTTTGTCTTTCATGTAGTCATAAGATCTTTCCTTATTCTGGTATATCCCTTTCTCTGC